TGTTATCTCCATATGAGGATACAGCTCTAAAACTCAGTTTAATGGTTCTGAAGCCGGCTGGTAGTAAGGTTTCCCGAACTCTGTGGTAGCTCTCAGAGAGGCTGATTCCATCAACAGCTGCAAAATATCAGAGTATTAACAGTGCCATGTTGCGCATGGATGGTGTCCCTGTTAATGCTTTTGGTGGGCATTGTCAAGGCCACATAAGGAGCCCTATGTCACGGCTTAGGGTTAACTAACAGAACTGAGACAACTGCATAGCTCATTGATCAGGAGGCTGTGCTCTATCTATGAATAAGTCAAGTTCTCATTAAACCCAAATCATGACCAAAGTAACCAAAAATTTAAAACCTAAAAAATTTAAAACCATCCCCACCACCTAAATATTTTAATATATCTTTTACAAACATTCGCCGTCTACGAAGCAACTTTCCATCAGTTGAGTCTTACCTCCTGCAAAATTCACCAGACTTGCTTGCACTCAGTAAAACAAATTTAAATTCTGCAATTCCTTCTTCAGATGTCAGTGTTGATGGGTACTATCCTTTGATTCGTAAACACTCCAATAGTCACATGCTAGGTTTAGGGGTATACATACGCATTAATTCCCCTATTTGTCGTGAAATCAGGTTTGAATTCTTTGACCATTCTTTTATGTGCTTTCGCCTAGCACCTCTTCACTCTATCACCTTTCTCTTTGTTCTTTATCGTTCTCCTTCTTCCCATGATTGCACTCTCTTAGATGTTATCTCTGATCAAATTGACCATGCCCTCTCTTTTTACCCCTCTGCCAATATTGTTGTTGTTGGTGATTTTAATGCCCATCACACTGAATGGCTTGGCTCTAACACCACTGATCCTGCTGGCACTAAAGCCTTTAACTTCTGCGTTTCTCAATCTCTTACTCAGATAGTTAACTTTGTGACTCATTTTCCTGACAACCCTAATCATTTACCTTCACTTCTTGACTTATGTATTGTCTCTGACCCTAGCTTATGTTCAGTTTCTCCCTTTTCTCCCTTAGGTGGTTCTGACCATGCAATGATCTCTATAAATTTTTCTTCTCGTACTTCTTTTTTGGGCTCACCTTATCATCGAACCACCTACTACTACCCTAAAGCTGACTATAATTCCTTTCGTGATTTTCTTCGTGATGGTCCTTGGGCTGATGTTTTTTCTCTCTCAGCTGACAAATGCGCCTCCTACATAACCTCCTGGATTCAGGCTGGAATGGAAGCTTTTATTCCTTAGCGTCGGTTTCAAGTCAAGCCTCATTCTACTCCATGGTTTTCTCCTTCTTGTGCGGCTGCTATATCCAATCGTAATCATTTTTTTCATCTTTTTCAAAAGAACAACTCTCTTGAGAACAAACGGCTATTTATTATTGCAAGAAATTGATGTAAAAAGGTGCTTTCTGATGCTAAACTCCATTATTCTCAGTTCACTAAATCTCGCATCTTATCAAAGAAGTTAGGCTCTAAAGACTTTTGGAAAATCTTCAACAGCATTATTAACAAGGGTAGATCTAACATTCCATCTCTCATTCATGGGACTGATCTTATTACCTCTCCCAAGGATAAGGCAGAACTATTTGCAAAGAACTTTTATTCTAATTCCACTCTTGAATCTTATGGACATTCTCTTCCTTCCATTCCAGTCAAACAGGTTGACCCATTGTTAGACATTCAAATCACTCTGGCTTCTGTTGCTAAAGTCATAGCTCAATTAAACTCGTCTACAGCTTGTGGTCCAGACAACATTCCTGTCACAGTCTTGCAGAACTGTTCTCCAGAACTTACTTCAATTCTCTCTAAACTATTTAACAAGTGTTTGACTGAGTCTTGTTTTCCTGCTTGTTGGAAAATGGCATCTGTGGTTCCAATAATCAAAAACTCTGGAGAAAATTCTGACCCCTCCAATTATCGTCCGATCAGTCTTCTTTCTGTTATTAGCAAGGTCTTTGAGTCTTTGATCAACAAATTCCTCACATCTCATCTTGAGTCAAATAAACTACTGTCAATCAATACGGTTTTTCGATCCTCTTGCTCTACGGCCGACTTGCTAACTGCTGTAACTGAAAGATTTTATCGTGCATTAGATGGAGGCGGTGAGGCTAGGGCTATTGCTCTCGACATATCTAAAGCTTTCGACAAAGTTTGGCATGCTGGTCTTCTCCATAAGCTTGCTTCATATGGTGTTTCTGGGTAAGTTTTTGAGATTATCAAATCATTTCTTTCTAACCGGTTTATTAAAGTCATCTTTGAAGGTCAACACTCTTCTTTATTTCCAATAACTTCTGGGGTTCCCCAAGGTTCCATCCTGGGCTCTGTTTTGTTTCTTATCTACATAAATGATCTTCCTGACAACTTTTCATCTAAAGTAGCTCTTTTTGCTGATGACTCAACTTTATACTCCTGTCTTGACAAAAAGTCTTCTCTTTTCGATCGCCTAGAACAAGCAGCTGATCTTGAATCCGATCTCACTTCAGTAATAGATTGGAGTTCACAGTGGCTTGTGAATTTCAACTCTAAAAAAACCCAGTTGCTTACTGCAAACAACTACCATAATATGGTCAACATTCCTATATTAATGAATGGCAATCCTCTTACTGAGTCCTCAACTAAAATTCATTCTCGTTTTACTCGTCATTCAGCTAAGTCTCATTCGTTTACTGTATCTGTCCGTGCATGCTCTAAAAACTTTTATTCATCTAGTTTTTTTTCCTGCACTTCAATCCTTTGGAACTCTCTCCCATCTTCATGTTTTCCTGACTCATACAACCTTCAACTTTTTAAGTCTTCTGTCAACCATTGCTCTATAGCTCTGTTCTTTTTTTTTCCTAGTAACTCCCAACTTAAAAGTGGTTGCTTGCAGCCTTGTTGGGAGTGAATGCAAAGAAAAAAAAAAAAAAAAATTTAAAACACCTTATTGTAATAAGACATTTTAAGTCTTTAAAATGAAAATTAAATTAAACAATATTGTTGTAAAAAAAATTATAAATAAAATTTAAATGTTGATTAATAAAAAAATTTCCTTATTCTAAAATCTTATACTTATTTAAACTTAATTTTTTTTCTTTAAGACATTCGTTTTATGGTTGTTGTTTTTTTAATGAGAGGACACTTGTTTATTGTTGATTTTCTTAAAGTGACTTTCATGTGCTTACAACTAGAAAATTAGATTGGGTTTTCCTTTTTATAAAAAACGTTTGCACTACCTAAGGCATTTTAGTAACTGGCTTTTGATAAAATAAAAATTGTAATTAAACAAAGATTACCGCTTTTCTGCTTTGCTTTTTTTTTTTTTTATTTCTATTAAGATATTTTATTTTTATGTACTATGAGACCTAATGAAACTATTTCTTACTAAATCCAAAAAGTAAAATAGTATTTTCGGTTTTAAGATGTTATTAGCAGGACTTGTTTTTAACAAATATCAGTATAATTTTTAAATTTACGTAACATATTAGTTTTGTTTTCAAAATAAAATAAATACAAGTTGGGCTTTTAAAGAGTTTATTGATTGATCACATTTTTTTAAATCAGTTTAAAGTTTTGTTTGTTTTATAAAAAAATTAATGAAATTCTTCTACATAAAAATTTAACAGCAAAGGGAATACCCAAATATAACGTTTAAAAATCGAGTTAGAAAGAACTTTTTTGTATTGACGTCAAAATTATCAAAATACAAAAGCATTAATCAGACCAGTATTTGGAACTGGAACTTACCTTGGAAAAAAAGGTGTTTAAAATTATAAAGTTTTTCCCTAATATCTAGATAAATAATTTGTTCTGGAAAGTTTGATTAGCATAAAACTTATTTTTCAAGGATTTTTTATGACATGAACACAATTTATCTTGGCACTTAGGGATCACATAACGATCAAAAGATAAATAAAAACTTGTCAACCTTTTTTTTAACATTTTGGTTTTAACAAAATCTTCACATACTACTCATATACTAGTTAATCATTTTTAATCAACGTTCAATCTTTAATCAATTCAAAAAATTAATGATAAAGAAAAAACTTTTGTTAAAAAAAACTGAAACTAAAATAAAGTTATATGTAATACAAACATTTTAAAGTAACTTGAATTAAATTTATTAAATTTTTTTTTTACTTTTACATAGTTTGGAGATTTTATCAGTAAAAAAATTTGTAAAATAGAGCGTTTTAAAATTTTTAAAGGATTTTAATTAAATTTAACAAAATAAATTACTAAAACTATGATTAATAACAAATTTAATTTAAATATAAAAAAATAAATTTAAATTAAAAACTTTTTAAAATCGGAATGTAGAAAAAAAATTTTAACTATCTTTTTTTTTATCAAATTAAAAAAAAATATTCCACAAATGTTTTTTACAACAATTAATTACAGCTAAATTTTTACAACAACTAATTACAGCTAAATGTTTTCCGTATAATATGTTCTAAAAGACTGTCTAAAATTAACTAATTGAAAAAAGTTTTTGCGCAACGTAAATTGCAAAATGTGTACATAAAATCGTGAATATCTACATAAAATTCAAATAGGGAAACGCTTCTTAACAAGGCCTGTAATATATTTAATGTAAATAAAAAAAATATACGTTGATGGTTTATTTTGACTAACATAATGGTTTTGATTTTAATAAAACTTTAAAAGAAATAAAGCACATTTTGAAAACATACATATTTAGCACTTTGTTAAATTTTTTTTGATAATATAAATTATGTTTAGTAATGCATATGATTGATTAAATGCAAGAAAATTAGGAGTGGGGAGAGCTTCAACAGTAAATTTGGAGAATAGTGAGATTTTTGTTTAGATAAAACTTTGTAAATGTTTTTTGCAAAATTTTCTACTTTTTAAGTTAGTAACCCAAACTATACTTTATAATGATTTAAAATCAGTTTTATTTTTTCCTCTATTTTCAAAACAAAGGATTTCATAAAAAAACTTCAAAAAAGTTAAAATAAAAATCAATAACTTTTGAATATTTTTAAAAGTACTCACTACACAAGCCTTCTCAGCATCATACACATTTTTTTTTCGATTTCTTTCATTAATGAAGCTGTAAAAAAAAAATTATAATAACTTTAAGAAAATTATAATAACATTAAAATTAAAAAAATTATAATAACATTAAAATTAAGAAAATGAAAAAGATTCAGTCAAATTCAATAGGATTCAATAGATTATGTCAAATTCAATAGGATTCAATAGATTATGTCAAATTCAATAAGGGTATAATTGAACTTTCATAGCCAAGTATATTTCATCTAAAGTGCAAATCATCCAAGTACAAATCATCCAAACTTTATTAGGAGTTAAACAAAAAAACATTTTAATATAAAATTTTATGGCCATTTTTTTCTTTTTTAAAATCATCTCCATAAGCCCAAGAGAGTCAGTAGTGGAGGCATTTCATTTTTTAATTTTTTTTTTTCAATTTTTTATTGCAACCCTTTTTCAAATGAAAATACTTTTCATAAACTAAGTAGAGACTTTTATTTCGTTTAATTTTATTTTTTTTCAAAGTTGAATACCCAGTTTTCAACACTTTATTTTCATAAGTTGAATACCCAGTGTTCAACACTTTCATAATATTCTCTTAGTTTAACACAACACTAAGGATTAATTATAAATTTATTACAACTGAATGCACTTATTTTTGTATTAAGCCCTTAACCATTAATGATGTATATATACGCAAGACAAAACTTTCCAAAAACAGCATTGACATATATATGCGCAAATATTTGTTTGAGGAAGTGTGGAACCATAAGCTGTGAAGCCAGTCTTTTATACTAGAACATTCTTTTACAGAAACTTTAAGCTCATTATGGTTATTTTTCTAATAGTGTAGCTGATTTATTTTAAATTTTAGTAAACACTGTTTTAAAATGGAAGGTTATGTTTTGTAAAGCAAAAGAAGCTAGAAATGCAAAATTAAATTCATCAGAAGGTAATGTTAATATTATGCTTGAAAGTGACAATGAAATTTCAGATTTTAGTAATAGTGACCTTGATGTGATAGGTAGCACAGATATATTCACTGAAGAAGACAGCCATGATGTTATAAACTAGTCAGTTGCTGAAATCGATAAAAGTTTTGTTACCCAGCCTCTTTCTTTTGTAGTTCTAACTAATAAAAGAAAGCAAATGGCAAAAAAAAAAAAAAAAAATTATTGTTGGACAAAAAGTAAACCTGTATCAGTTATGTGCAGGCAAACCTTTCATTATGATCCAGGTGTGCATGAGTCTGTAACATTATATGGCCTGCTAGAGATTTTGATCTCTTATTCACTAGTGAACTTGTAGATATGATAGTAAAAATGACAAATAAATATGCAGATCAAAGCAATATAGATAAAGTGCATTTTAAGTCTTTCCAAATCTGAAGACAACTAATAACATTTGAAAGTACTTAGCTGCGTTAATATACTGTGGCTTATTACAAAAAAAATGTGATGTTGGGTTATGTGTTGCACCTTGCTTTGAGATATATCATACTGTATTAAAATATTAGTTTTATATTGTAGTAAAGTTTATTTATTTCACTAGGGATTTAATTAAACTTTTTATATAATTTACAAATGTTTCTGACTATTTTTGTTCACTTTATAAAATACTTGCAATTTTTTAAAATTAATGTGACGCTGGAGCTATTGTGCACCGAAATTAGGTGACGGTTAAGGGGTTAACCTGTTTTACAGATCAGATCTGAGTATTTTTGTTGTGACAATAAAATCAGGAAGATTACCATCCAAACAACCTCTTTTTTCCCATAATTAAGGATTTTATACTACATTCTTCTTTTTCTAGGGTAGTTGCCTTGATGGCTAATAAGGTTAAAAAGTTTTGTATGTATTAATGGTTTAATAAACTATTTTAGAGAAACAAAAAACTATTTTTATAAACTTTTACAATATTTCAATAAAAATGGATATTCAACATTTTCTTTGGAAAAAAAAAAAGAACATCAATAAAGTGTAACAGAAAAAAAAGAGAACATCACTAAAGTGTAGCAGAAAAAAAAGAGAACATCACTAAAGTGTAGCAGAAAAAAAAGAGAACATCACTAAAGTGTAGCAGAAAAAAAAGAGAACATCACTAAAGTGTAGCAGAAAAAAAAGAGAACATCACTAAAGTGTAGCAGAAAAAAAAGAGAACATCACTAAAGTGTAGCAGAAAAAAAAGAGAACATCACTAAAGTGTAGCAGAAAAAAAAGAAAACATCACTAAAGTTAGCAGAAAAAAAAAGAAAACATCACTAAAGTGTAGCAGAAAAAAAAGAGAACACCGCTAAAGTGTAGCAGAAAAAAAGAGAACATCACTAAAGTGTAGCAGAAAAAAAGAGAACATCACTGAAGTGTAGCAGAAAAAAAAAGAGAACATCACTAAAGTATAGCAGAAAAAAAAAGAAAACATCACTAAAGTGTAGCCATTTTTATAGGATGAAATAGCAGGAATAACAGTTATTTTATTGGAAAAAAAAAATTGTTTATAAAAAGTATTCACTATAGATATAAAAATCCTAATCTTTTTCAAAATCTTTATTTTGACATATTATAGGCTGAAAACAAAAATAATTAAACTAATTTCATTAGCATTTAATATTATTTTTATCGACTTTTTTTAACAATTTGTATTCTTTGTATTCTTATTTCTTTCGCATTCTTATGTGTAAAAGATTATCTTTTTTTGCAGACATGTGCAATTAATATATATATTTAAATGTGTATGCGTGTGTGTGTGTGCGTGCGTGCGCGTATATATATATATATATATGTGAGTGTGTGTGTGTGTGTGTGTGCGCGTATATATATATATATGTGTGCGTGTGTGTGTGCATGTGCGTGTGTGTGTGTGTGTGTGTGTGTGTGTGTGTGTGTGTGTGTATATATATATATATGTTCAGAAATTTCCTTTTTTTTTTCTTTTTTTTATAAATAAAGCTAAACTAAAAAAAGTTTTTTTATAAAATAAAGCTAAACTAAAAAAAGTTTTTTTATAAAATAAAGCTAAACTAAAAAAAGAAAACTAAAAAAAGGAGAAGAAATTTTGATTAAATAGAAAATCAAAATAAAATCAACTAGAAAATTCCTATACAGAAAGAGAATTATTATTTACACTAGAACTTCTGCAGTATTCAACATTTTCCTCAATACACAAGAAAGCGAGAAAATAGTCTGTTTTTATTAGTAAAATACATTTTACTATTATATTATATATTTTATAATAGCATATATTTTTCATAAAGGTAACAAATTTTTAATGAAAAAATTAAGTCATTAATCTAATAAAAAATAAAAAAATCATAAATAGATTGCAAAAGTTTTTATTTTTGATAAATTTTTATGACTTATAATCTGCTTTTTTCCTTGAGTTTTATCAAATTTTGTTGCTGAAAATAACAACCCAAAAATAAGAAAACAAAATTGAATAGGAAAGCTTTAAATCAAAAAAAAATGTTTAAAATTCCTAATTTTTAATTTTTTTTTGTTTATTTTAGATTTCTTTTTCTTTTTAAGTTTAGACATTCCTATTTTTCCCACAGATTTTTTTTCACAAAATTTAGAAACATTTAATATACGTCAAATCATGCAAACAGCAGTGGACAGCTGCTTTATCATTAATACTTTTCGAAATTTAATGTGTTTTACTGCATTAATAATGTTATTTTCAAAAGCAAACATTTCTGTGATTTGATGGATTTCTGTGATTTTATTTGATTGGATAATTTGATGAGTTCAATCCATAGCAGGCCTTGTTTTAAATAAAAAACGGGTTAGCACATTAGCTCGTTGTGACTTTGATATCATAAAATTATCTTCATTTTTTATTTTTTATTCAAGGGCATTAACTTTTTTAACTATCGCAATAAAATAAATTACCGCAAAACAAGTTTATTTTTTTTTATAATTAGTAAACAAGTTTACTAATTATAAAAAACAAATCTAGAAGTCTTATTTTCTAAATGTACATATTATGGAATGTCTATTTTGTTTAAATTTTTTGTTTTTTAATATTAAATAATTAAATTTTTTATTAAATTTTCTATTATCATGTAATACAAAATTTCTTTCTTTTCTCAACATATTAATATATCCTATTTTAAAATATCTTAATACTTTTTTTCATTTCTTAAAATTGCAACTTTGCAAATAACGATTTTTTACTTTTAAAGCGTTATTAACAAACAAAAAATATTACTTGCTGCAAAGAAAAAAACTAAAGTTAATTACTTTTCCAACCCTTTTTTTTGTGCCAAAGATTTAAGTTTTCAAGTATCAATTGTTAAAAAATATATACCGTTGCGCTTTCACTTGCAATAAGGCAAAAAAGTATGGATTATATTTTTGATGCAATGTTATAACATGTTGACAAGGAATTTAAAAATAGAAGAGGAAGAAGAAAAACCAATTTAAAAAATCTAATTTTTTTAAATTTAAATAACTTGTTAATTCAAAATTTTTTCTAAATTATAAGGAAGCTAAAAGTTATTTTTTTCCCATTTTTTTAAATAAATATACTTTTATATATATATATATATATATATATATATATATATATATATATATATATATATATATATATATATATATATATATATACACATATATATACACATATATATATGTATACATATATATATGTGTGTATATATATATATATATATATATATATATATATATATATATATATATATATATATATATATATATATATATATCAGTCTTTCACAGAAAAACGTGCAATTGCACGCAATTATATGACCACGCAAAAAATAATTTGTTTTAACGATTTGACCACAGCTTTTGACAAATTTTCAAAATTTAAAAATGCGTTGAAAAACTTACTTAAACTTATCTAAAAAAAACTTTAAAAAAGAAAAAAAAATCTTAACAAAAAAAAAATTAAAAATTAATCATGCAAAAGCACACACAAAAAAAACTCATCAAACTAAAATGCTTAGTCTATTTAACTTAAGCATTAAAAAACCATATCATTTTTGTTTTAACATTTGTACTTTTTTGTACGTTTTTTGTTTTTTTAATATGTTTAAAAATACACATTTATCATAAAAAATACATAATTATACAAGTAAAAAAATTTTTTTTATTATCTTTTCAAATGTATTAACTTTAATTATTCTTATTTTAAAACTCATTAAAAAGACTTTCGTTGTTGTAGAATGTCATTGTTTATAAAAACAAAACAACTTTTTATTTTTTTTAATAATGTTTATTATAAAAAATGCACACTTAAACAATTTATATATCAATGTTTTGATGTAATTTATTTCACTTAAGGTATAATTCAAAATATTTTTCATTCAGCACATGTTTAAAATATTTTTTAAAATAGCTGCGGTCAAATCGTCAAAGCAAAATGTAATTTTTTGCTTTTTGCTTTACTTGAAAATATTCAAATACCTGACATTGTTAAGGGCTCCAGATCTTTTTCGATCCAGCATTTGTGCTCGTTCTTCTAACTCTTCTAATTTTTCTTTAACTTTTGCCAACTCAACTGTATTTCCAGCTTGTTCAGCTAACTCCTACATATTTATAATCAATATAATTTTATAGTTCATAAATATTTTTTAAAAAAGTTAATAAATAAAAAAATCAAATTTATTCAACAATTTTAAGTTCAGTTATACAGAACGCCAAAAAATGTATATTTGCATAAACTTTTTAAAGCATTTTATCTAAATCTATGTATTATGGGTGCTGAAACCATATTTGGTATAAGTTTTTTTATTATCCATAAAATTTCACACAATCACATTAATTATATATTTGAAAAATCAATATATAAAAATTTAAAAAATTATATTTTTTGAATTGAATTAAAATTTTTATTAGGAGTTATATTTATTTACAGCAAGTACAAATATTTTAGGGGCTTATCCTATCACTTTTCTTTTGATGTTTTTTAATTAAAATTCCTTATTTTAACAATACACAACAGTAATTTAAGAATTAAAAACTACTGCTTTAAATATTTGGGGGAAATTGAAATTTATTAAGTGTGTGTTTCTAATATCATCTTGAACAGCGTTGTGCAGATAAAATTAAATTGGGCAACCCATTCTTCTTACAATGATACATTAACATAATAAGACTTTGCTCAATTATGAATTAAATTTACTTAGCCTGACAAGTGTAAATATATTGGTGGCATCTGAAAAAGTTGGCACACTTGTATCAAAGTGACTCGACAGCTGATTATACTAGCAAAAAAGCTAAATTCTGTTTGGAAATTGGTGTCTGTAAAATTTATACTTACCTTTAAATCAATATCTGATTTTTAAATATATGATTTTAATTTGTGAAAAAATTTGAGTTGTTGCGTATTGTTAATAAGCTGTTGTGCCTAGTTTAGGAATCTGCAATTCATTTAATGATTCAATATTCTTTACTGATTTCAAAATTCACATGATTCTGTGGTACCTAATTTTTAAAGGTGAATGTTTAAATATTTACACAGTTTTTCTTAATTTTTGTATAAGGGGACAAAGAGGACTATGTGTTATGTCTGTATCTCGTCCCTGTATTTTATAATTTTTTTTTGTTATTTAGGTGCCCCAAGAAGACCTAACAGTCTTGTCACAGAGCACCGTGGAAGTGCATTTAACCAGGAAGTTCATGCCTCTTTCCTTACAGTGACGCGAAATATGTCCAGAGCTCGTTTCAAACCTGGATCTCCTGCTTATAAAGCAAGCGCTCTAACCACTGCGCCACGGCCGCACATTCATTATTAATTTTGAGCTAATGATTCCATCTTAAGTTGCTTGTTTAATTGAGAACATCTAGGAAAGCAAGTTGAATTGCATGGATCAAACACAACTGCTGAGCACCCATTATTAATTTCTTATTTAGGTACACTGCTTTCTGATTGTTTTGGGTTTGTTTATGCTATTTGGTTTTATAGGTCTTAAAATAAATTTATTAGTATTTTTATGTTTCTATTAGAATTTTAATTTATTGTTTTTTCATGTTTTCTTTCAGTGGTATGGTAAGTGTTATATTTAGTTATTTTTATTTTTGTTTGTTCAGTAGATTTACACTTTTAATTTCATATCATTAAAAAAATATTGTTGCTTTACAAATTTGGGGTTGGTTGGGTTTTGGCTGTTTGTAGTGAGTCCTTTTTTACTGCAGTATGGAATAGACGTAAGTCTAATATATATAATATAATATAGAATAGGGTAAAGCACAAGTGGTGATGACCTTTGTCAGATGGGATAAACTAGTTATAAGCACTGATCCTCATCGAAATGCCAGTAATAATAGAAGCAACTCTGAGGAGATGTCTATTACTTAATTATTACACTAATTATATTTACTCATTAGCATTAATGTTTTTTTTTCCATTGTTAGGCCTTCGTTGTTGCTAGCATACTTTTTATTTCATAATCAATTTTTTGTTTTTGTTTGGTGATATTTTTGTTTTATATCTTCATTCATATTAATGTTTATATAACAATTTATTTTTTATTATTATTGTTAAGTACTGTTTTAGGTGCATTGTCTGTCTTTTTTTTATTTATTTGTTAATATTCCTCTAATAACCTTTATTTTTATCTTGACAACTGTCAAAATATGCTTTGTTCAAAAAATAATTATCCTTTATTCTAGTGTACTTCATTTCTTCCCTTAAGCGTTCACTGCTCGTGTGTGACAATTCAACGAATTTTATAGGCCAAAAAAAAATATTATTAATTTCTTTTCGGCATAGTCAAGATTGCGGTGTTTTGTCATGTGTTTATAGTGTATATAGTATCTATTGTGTTTATAGTGTATATAGTGTCTATTGTGTTTATAGTGTATATAGTGTTTATTGTGTTTATAGTGTATATAGTTTTTATAGTATTTATTGTGTTTATAGTGTATATAGTGTATATAGTGTCTATTGTGTTTATAATAAAGTATATATATTATAAAAAAGTTGTACTTTTTAATTAAAGTGTATCAGAACTTGTACTAGATTCACTAACAAGTTCAATCAATCTTGTTTTCTTGGTATTATAGCCTGAGAAATAGGTAACCAAACTTTCAGGTTCAGGAAAAAAAAAGATTTTGATAAATACTTTTATTCTGAAAAATTTAACAACAATTTTAAATAGTCGGAAAAAAAAATAATTTATTGACGTTGTTAAATTTTATTATTCTGAACAAGTTTTAAAAGGTTGAAGTGTAAAGAAAAAATTTGAATGAATAAAAGTTTTTAGAGAATGCAGGAACAGATACATATGATACTAGATACCATGATAGTAATGTAGAAAAGAGTAAGAGATGCAACTTTACAACAATGGGAGAAATTCATTTGATTTGCAATTGATACCATCAAGTATAGGAGTTAAAATCAAGGAATGGTCACAAGCTCAGCTCAATTAGGCCATTGACTTGTTCAAGCAAGGTAAAATATTTAGGTTGATAAATAAATTTAGGTTTAAAAATTAGGTTGATAAACTCGAATGGCATTAGGAACTACCAGCCATCTGATTAAAAAGTTCAAACTGTTTGGATATGTGAAAAATTAGCCAAGATCCGGAGTTAAGCATCCAGAATGAATTGAAAAATTGTCAAGAACTATTTTGAAAAGAATTTGGAATACAAGTGAGTGATATGTATTATTCGAAATTGATTAAAAGAGAGTAGATTTAAAACAAAAGTTTCAAGCAAGAAACCATTCCTTTAAAAAATCCATTGAAACCGAAGACTTAGATTTCCTAAAAAATATGTAAATATGCCAATATCATTCTGAGAAAAAGTTTTGTGGACTGAAGAGATAAAGTTTAATCTAGTGAAGTTAGATAAAGCTCAAAAAGTAAGGGAAAAAATTGAAATATGTCATATTTTGAATAAATCATTAGGTTTACAATTATTCAATAAATAAAAGTATTACAATCAGTTTAATGAAACAGTATAAAAAATAATACTTATCATACAAATAGTCAGACATCTACTTTTGATAGAATATATATCTTCTTAGAATCATGCAAACTCTTTCTTTGTAAGTTTACTTCAATGTTTCCTCAGTTCATTCATTAACTTCACCATTAAAGAGTGATAAAACGGTAATTTCTTCTTAAATTATTGAGAAAACTTGCTCAGAGATGGTTTGGAGCTCAATTTGTCAATAGGCTCATATTCTTTAAGCCTTTTCTTAAAGCACAAACCTTGTTTTGGTTGCTTCACAGCCACCAAAGCGCAAACCTTGATTTGGTGGCTTCACAGCCAGATTACATCAAAGCCATGACTTGACATTATAACCGCAACGAATGAACAAACATCTTGAAATGCTCCAATTGGCACTAATTTGGAACTGGGAATGCAACAAACATTTTTTTAAAGAGCAAATAGCTCTAGCCATCCACCTGGCTTGATGCATTGCTCCAGGACTTCTCATTTTAATTTTAAGCTGCAACAAGCTCCTACAAATATATTTTAAGCTGCAACTAATTTAGACATGATAAAATGTCCTTGTGTTTGTATAAAATCTTGTGTAGTAAGAAAAGATGATAAACTCCTTATACACATTTTCTCATGTTTTTTTTTTCTCTTCTTTGAGTTTTCTCTGTCTTGTCCTTTTTTCTTTTTCGACTTGTCTACAGCTGCTAAACATTTTGGATGCCCTAGATATCTTTGTTTTAGTAAAAATATTTTGTCTTCTATTTTCAAAGTATCAGTTGCGTGCTATATGGAATAAATTATCTAATTATTTTGAGTACTTAGCAGAGCTGGGTATTGCTACTAGATATTCTAAAGTTTTACCAAAAACCGGTACTTCCACTACTTTTTCAAACTTTAAAAGTAGTCGCGCTTGTCTGTATATAGTCCGCTACTAAATTCTTTTTTATATCTAAAAAATAACTTTTTTATATTTAAATTTTATATCTAAAATTTTATAACTAAAAATTAACAATTAATGATTAGTAGAATAAGAATAATTCAAAATACAAGAAATTTGATGCTGACTCTAGCCAGACAAGCGACAATGATAAAAAGGAATCATGAACTTTCTGGTTATATGCTCTTTCCTTATTTCCTTGCTCTGTGATAAGACTGCTGGGTATTACTTATGCTCTGTGATAAGACTGCTGGGTATTACTTATGCTCTGTGATAAGACTGCTGGTTATTACTAATACATTTGATATAATTTAATAATACTATTTTGTTTTAAAAGCTTAACTTTATATAAAGATTGACCTTTCATATAAAACATTTAAAATATCAGCTGTCAAATCTTTTAACCGAATTGTGTAAATCTAAGATTGTTTGATAACATTATTCATTTTCTTCTCACTATAATTTAATAAACAAAAAATTTTGTAGTTTAAACTTTTTTGTTAAATACGGATGATAGTACAGTAGAGCTTCGAAATTTTTTTGGTGGGGATCTCATTCTCTATTTACTGATGAAAGGTACTATCACAACTCTGGTACAAAACAGAAAGTCCACATATAGCAAAGGTGAGGGCTACTGCTCAGCCATGCATGCAGGCCTTGTTAAGAAGCGTTATGCTATTAGGATTTTATGTATGAAAGAGATTTCACATACACATTAGGCAATTTACATTAGGCAAAAACTTTTTCAAATTAGTTTATTCTAACAGTCTTTTAGAACAGTTTATGTGGAAAATATTAAGCTGTAATTAATTGTTGTAAAAAAACATTTGTGGAATATCTTATTTATTAGATAAAAAACAGATAGATAAACTTTTTTTAGATAGATAAACAAACTTTTTTTTTTTTTTTTTAATTGTTTTTTTTTAATTTATTGTCAAATATTAATAAATATAAATTTATTTAACTAAACTTAATTTAAATTTTTCAAATTTATTTTATTTTCTCTTTTCAAATTTATTTTATTTCAAAATTATTTAATTAAATTTAATTTAAACCCTTTTAAAAATTTTAAAAAGCTCTGCTTTACAATTTTTTTTACTGCTAAAATTTCAAAACTATGTTAAAGTACAAAAAAAAAATTTAATAAATTTAATTCATGTTAACATAAATATTAAAAATGTTTGTCTTACATATAACTTTTTTTTTCCATTTCAGTTTTGAAATTACTTTTTAAAACAAATGTTTAATTTACATACAAAGTAAAGTTTTTCCTTTATCATTAATTTTTTGAATTGATCATACACTGAACATTGATTAAAAATGATTAACTAGTTTATGAGTAGTATGCAAAGATTTTATTAAAGCCAAAATGTTAAAAAAAAGGTTGATAGTTTTTATTTACTTTTTAATCATTAAAATGATCCCCAAGAGCCAAAACAAGTTGTGTTCCTACCATAAAAAATTCCTTGAAAAATAGGTTTCATGTTATTCAAACTTTTCAAAACAAATTATTTATCAAAATATTAGCGAAAAACTTTATAATTTTTAACGCCATTTTTTTTCTTCTCAAAGGTAAGTTCTAACTCTTTGATGTTTTTTTTTAAGAAAAAATACTGGTGCTTTTCTAGATAATAATGTGATGCCAAAAAAAGTTCTTTCAAATAACTTAAACTCAAGTTAAAAATGCTATGTTTGATTTTCCCTTTGCAGTTAATTTTTATGTAGAAGAATGTCATTATGTATTTTATATAACTGAATAAAAGTAACAAGATTTTTTAATCTTGTAAACGCTTTCAAAATCCAAATTATATTTATTTTATTTTAAAAACAAAATTAATATTAGTGCTATAAATATAAGATATGTGTACTTCAAAATTATACTGATATTTGTTAAAACAAGATCTGCTAATGACATGTTAAAACTGAAAATATATATTTTTTTGATTTATTAAGAAATTAGGTTTCACGGTAAATGATAAAAAAATATTTTAATAGAAATAAAAAACAAAGCAGAAAATCGGTAATCTTTATTTAATTACAATTTTTATTTTGCCAAAAGTCTCCAGTAGAACTAAAAAGTCTAAGGTAGCACAAATCTTTTTTTATAAAAGGGGAAGACTCAATCTAATTGTATAGTTGTGTAAATTTAAAATATGCAACTTTAAAATATTTACAATTTGCAATTGCAAATTTAAAATATGCAAATTAAATTTTTAAAAATGTAAATATCTTTATTGAGTAAAGTTACATTTACTCACGTTATCCTTTTCCGTTATGCAACAAAATCTCATAACAAGGCCTGTGCATGATTTTATATATATATATATATATATATATATATATATATATATATATATATATATATATATATATATATATATATATATATATATATATATATATATATATATATATATATACATACATACATACATACATACATACATACATACATACATACATATATATATATATATATATATACATACATATATATATATATATAAATATATATATATGTACATATATATACATATACATACATATATATACATATACATACATATATATATACATATATATACATATATATACATATACATACATATATATACATATATATACATATACATACATATATATACATATGCATACATATGCATACATATATATACAAACTTATACATATATATATATATATATATATATATATATATATATATATATATATATATATATATATATATATATATATATATATATATATATATATATATATATATATATATATATATATATATATATATATATATATATATATATATATATATATATATATATATATATATATACATTAGGGGGTTGAATTTTCAATTTTTTCACTTAAAAATGAATAGGTATATTTTTAAAAGCTGACATTATTAAATTTGTTTATAGAAATATATGCTTTTAGATTTTTGGATGCAAAAACATCCACAGTAGAAACTTTTTTTTTTTTTACTTTTTTTTTTTTAAACAAGCTAACCTTTTTTACGTTTTTTATACATTTTTTATTGTTTTGCATGATACGAATAATGGTAATATATATATATATATATATATATATATATATATATATATATATATATATATATATATATATATATATATATATATATATATATAAATAGTTTAAATTCATCAAATACAAATACTTCTGCAAGTGTCATCTTTAATTGTTTGCTGTCAAAATAAGCGTGTTCGAATCAAGGTGATTATTTTGTGTTTACTAAAATTTAAAATTAATATAATTAAAATAAGTTATTTATGTGTGCTTAAAATGTAAAATACATTTAATTTTAAGCTTCGTATGTAACTTACAATTATAATTAACATTTACTTTATATTTTAGAAATGTCAAGAATAAGCTTGCAGATAGCTGAAAAACCTGAAAATATCAAAGCCTCAAAATGGTCTTAAAATCTAGTCCACTTTGAGAAATCAAAATCAACAAGATCTCACACACCAAAAGTTTTAGACCCTCTTGATAATTTAAATAAAATACCAAAAGCTGAAACAGATACAGTAGAGGTCAGTGACAACAATGAAAAATGCAATTAACAAAATGATGAACAAGATTCTAATTATATTCCTCCAGAGAAAAAAGTTAAGAGAAAATATGAGAACACCACTCTTGGCTGTTAACTTAGTTAAGAAGTCAAAACTAAGTATTAAGAAATCAGCAGAAGTTTGCAAAAATTTATCTGATTAATTTATCAAAATGAAAAATTTATCAATGTACAAATCCCATCTAAGTCTGGGCTTTAATGAGTTACGATGTCAGCAGCTCAAAAAATGGAAAAGCACATGATAAGTAATTTAAAAAATGAGAACTGGGTGTTGCATTTTGACAGTAAAAGAATGTCAGAGAAAGAGTATCAAGTTTTGGAATGCAGAAAAGGAGGTAAAACCATTTAAAAACTAGTTTAAAACCATTTAAAGAATAGTTGAAGTGTTGGATAAATTTTAACTATGGAGTAGTATTAAAACTAAAATATCTGATACTACTGTGAATACTGGGAGTAGAAATGGAGTTGTAATTCGACTGCAAAAAGAATTTGAAAGAAAAAATCTTGAACCATTTCAATTTATTAGCTGTCAGGATCATGTGTTGGACACAATTTTTAAACATACTATGAATGAAATTCTTAACTAAAGTGTCAAAATTGCCAGAATTATATTACAAATTTATTGAAAACCTGCAAAAAAAATCATGAAAATTTGAAATCAAGCTTCAAGCAAGGTGAACAAATTTGTAAAGTGAAGACTAATAAATGGAGAGACGACATAGATTTTTGGTTCGACTTGGTAAAAAGTAACCAATACATGAAGGTGAATGGCAGCTTTCCAGCTATAAACTTCAAGAGTCTCCCATCATCGTACAATGCCAGATGGAATTCAAGAGCAGTCTATGCCCTTCTAGCTTTTATTTTAACTGAATCGGATAATAATAAATTGAACTTGATTTGCGGCTTCATTGCATCAACTTGGTCTGATATTTGGTTTTCTGACATGCAATACTTAGAACATGATTTTAAAAATTTAAAACAAGCAATAACTTCAACTTCAGCCATGAAGACCTTAAAAAGATTTTGGCCACAGGAGCCCAGCAGAATACAAGGAATTCAGAGATCCAATATTTGTGCTGAGAGAGCCATAAAAGTTAAGCAAGAAATTGATGCAAGAGGTATAGACAAAATGAGATTATTCTGTAAAATAACTTTTAAATTGTATCTTGTTTAACTGAAAGTTATTTTGTCAAAATAAATTGTTATTTATCTGCTAATTTGTCGATTTTTATGTATTTCTCAAACAAAAATATATTTTTTTAATTACAGGGGACGTTTTTGTAACTTAAGTCAATAGAACTTTTAAAATTGGTAATCTAATGTAGAATGTCATATTTTGGCACTATACCCAAGTATAGTTGTGAAAAAGTCAACCCCCTAATATACATATATATAAATATATATATAAATTTATATTTATACATACATACATACATACATACATACATACATACATACATACATACATACATACATACATACATACATACATACATACATACATACATACATACATACATACATACATACATACATACATACATACATACATACATACATACATATACATCTTGATAATTTTTTACACTTTTTTGATACTTTTTTTATAATACCTTTTCTCTTATTAATGTATTTTTTGTAGAAGCATAATTAAATGGATTTTTTCGAAACCGATTCTTTTCTTTAACAATCTAAAAAATAAGTTCTAATTTCAGATCAATGCTATGTCAAAAACAAAAATACTTGAAACTATAAATATATTACCGCTTCGACATCATCTTCTTTAAATGAATACCCCTTTGATTCAGCTATTTCTTCAGACTTACGTTTTATATGAGAAACTGTAGGAAGAGGAAGCTCTACTAGAGACATCTATAAATAATGATTTTTATTTTTTTTTTAAATAATCTTTTATTTTTGAAATAATTTACTTTTGTTTATTTTTAGCACCATTTTAACATTTTAAGTATATAATTATTTTATAATTTTAGTTTTTCTATTAATTAATAGCAGTTTAACTTGAAACTAAATTATAATTAATTAGGGCGACACAAAAATGGCATTTACAGTCTTTTGGCATCAATGGTTTTGTGAACAAGTTGAGGCAAAATGAATGCTTTCACAGTACAAGAGTGTTAAGACTTCTTAGACAAAGCTAGTAATCAAAACTTGTTTTTCTTTAAATGTAAAAAGTGATTTATTTTAATATAATTTTTGTTTTTTATTTGAGTTGATGTTACACAAGGTGTTTTTCAAAATTCTGAATTAACAGAGTTATGATCGTAATTGGAAAATTGATCAAAATTAAAAAAAATTGAAACACAAAATTATCTTATAACAATTTAAAAAAATCCTAATTTCTCTGTTGAAGAACCTACTGTACTTATAAAAAGCTGAACTAGGTAATATCAAAGAATTATTTGTTTTACACATAAAGATATTCATTTTAATTTGTATTAAAAAAAAATTAGAACATTAAATTTTTTCAATAGTGAACAAGCATTTTAGGTCATGTGATGCAGTTTTTGACGTAAATGTCTAACTGAGCTTAAAGTTTGAATAATTATGCAATTGCTGCAAGTTAAAATGTTGAGTAAGAAGTCTTAACACCAATGAAAAATCTTAAAGCTCAAACAGTAGGCATCAGTTTGGACAATCATGGTTCAGAATAGAAAAAGAGATAACCAGGAAGAATTTGATTGCAGCAATAACTTACACAAACATAAAAGCCAATCTCAGAATTTGAAATCAAACCCTTTAAAGATTTTAAACAGCTAAACTTAAGCACAGAATCAGTCAGGAGTTATTGCAGATTTTCATCAGTGGAAGTAATCATTATACAGAATGATTTTATTTATTGGCTAATAAGATATTTGTTGTACATTTTGATAGAAAAATCATCAAGAAAATGACACTAGACAGACTATTACAAAAACTAACAGTATTTATAACTAAAACAGAGAAGATCCTTATCTTAAAGCAAAAGTTTTTAACCATTGAAAGCTATTAAAATTTCTGACTACTGAGTAATCAGACATTTCTGTAAGCTCTTTCTGCTGTTATTGTCTCCAGCTATAGCTGATTAGAGGACTTTCAAAGAAGAGTTGGTTATGTTTTTACACAAGACACACCAAATCTGTTTGAGAATGGAATTCACCAATTGATTTTTTAAGCTCTAGATTAATACAAGCGTTTTATTCAACGAGTTAACAGTGTGAGCAATGGCTGCGTGGAAAGAAATGTTAGTTTGATTAAAAGCTTTGTTCTTACAATGAGAATCAAAACGGAACATTCTTTTGCTAGTCAGGGAACAATGACATATTGCTATCTGAACTGATAAACTTGAAATCAAAAGTTGGAAAATTTTAAGATAGTGAAAAATGCTAATAACTGTATTTTGTGTTTTTTTTCTAAAATTAACACAAATTTAATTATAAATATTTAAAACATCAAAATAACAAACATTTAAAAAAGTATAGAAAGATTTTTTTTTTTCTTTATAACCAAATGTGTAATCAAAAAACTTTAAGTTTTATCAAATTTTACCTCTTCCTTCCATTTTAAAAACTCTGACTCTGTAAACTGCGAATTTGAGACATATTCCATTCGAAAGACTTTTTCTTGCATGCCATGACTAAAGATAAGTTGTTAACAAGAATTATTAATAAAAAAAATAGTAATAATTAACTATTTGAATAAATAACAAAACAAAAACAAAATAAAAAAAAGGACTGATAATATTTGATTTTGTTAATGTTACAGTTTCACTTTTGTTGCAGTTTTTGTGATTTGATTTAAAATTTTTGTGTTGTGGTAGTTCACCAAAAGCAAAATCAAACTTGTGTTAAACCAAAGACTAAAGACCCTTTGTGAAGATGAAACCGCTGTTAAATAAACTCTTAATTATAATAAGTCGACTAATATAAAGAATATATTCCATCCCTGCTATTTATATCAATTTAAATTTTTAATTCATATTTTTAAAGGTCGACAAAACAAACCTAATAGTAAAAAATAAATTATAATAACAACTGTTCCATAATATTGAGAAAAAACATTGACAAACAAAACCACTCCATGAAGAAACAAGTTAAATGTTGAAATAACAATGTTAATCATCCTAGAAAGCACACAACAATTAATGTTGTGTGCCTTCTAACTAATTAAATTGGCACAGAAGGCTTGATTTTTCTGAGTCAATATTTCCATCAGACTCAAATCTACTCTTAAAAATTCAAAAAGCAGCCTCCTGTTAGGTTAGCATACTCAATGAGATTTGATAGTTCGTGTATTCAGGGTTGTGGTGGTAGAATGCTGTCTTTGTAAATAAGAAGTAAAAAGTTCTTTGAAAGCACATGTTTAATACATTAGTTAAATTATATAAAATATAATTGTATAAGTTCACTACTAATTTCAGATAAACATTTTCTACTTTTAATTTTAGTTAACTATTTTAGTTAAACTAAATATTATAAAATATTTTTAAATTTCATTTTAAAAACAAAATTAAAAATTAGAAATAATTTACTCTTTTTATGAAACATTTTTATTACCGAATTTTTAAACCTTTATTGGTTCTTGTGCTTCCAAGGTTGTATACTTTGGGAGTTTCTGTTACTCCAATGATCTCACCAACCTAGACACTAAAACTTTTAAAAATATTGAAGTAAACTAAAAGTTTTGGGTAAACAATTGTTTACTTTAACTTTTTATACAACAAAAGTAATATTTTACTCTATAGACAGGTTTTCCATCATGGTTTCCAATTCCCATACGCACAAAGCATCCTGTAACTACACGTGGAAAAAAAGGTAGGTGGACCCATCTAAATGATTAAAAAAAATTTTGATAATCTTGAGAATAAAAAAAATTTGTTATGACATTAATTAACTTGTTAAAACATCTTAATTAATGTTATAGGTTTGCATTATATGTATAACATTTCATAGTTTAGGTTTGCATTATATGTATAACATTTCATAGTTTAGGTTTGCATTATATATATAACATTTCAGCCAACCAATGTAAACATTTAACAATTTAAAATTATAAACAGTAAGAAATCTTTTTAGTAAAATTTAATATTATTACAAAATTTATGTTGCTCCCTTTATCTAATTTTCAATATATGCAGCTATATAAGTCTATCTATAAATATCAGTTAGTAGATATTACATTTTAATTTAAGTTATATATTTTAGCCAAAACTAAATTAAATATTTTTGTATTTAATTTTTATATTTATATATCTAATTTCTTTTTATTTAAATTACTTTTGCTTGTTTATTAGTTTGAAATTACATCGTTTACATACTTTCAAAGAAAAAAGAAATGATTTTTGGAAGATAAAATGGAGTTAACAAAATAAGATCATTAATGTCACACACATGCTTTTATTTTATCGAACTTCATTATGATGACAATGTCACATACATACATAATGTATCACACACAAATTTATAATATTTGGAAAATTTTGAAATTTTAATGTATGTCAAACAGTCAGCCATTTTTAATCAGTAAACTAGTATATAAAACTTTTAATTAAAAAAAAAGATTAAAAAAAAAAAGATTTTAAATGACTTAAAATAGCATCAAAACCAAAATTAAAATTTGATCAAAAACCTAAACAAAATAAAATTATTATTAAAGAAAACTATTTCAAAAAATTTTACAGTGAAAATTTTTGTGAAGTTTGGCATACTATTATAGCTTCTAAGGTTCAGCATACAGTTAGGCATACATTTCTTTCACATTGACCATAGTTTACGAAGTTTGTTATACTTTTTTTTTTATACCAACCAAAGCTTGTGAAGTTTGGCATACAGTTCCATCATATCAACCATAGCTTGTGAAGTTTGGCATGCAGTTCTAACATATCAATCATAGATCCTGAAACTACCAGTCTTTATCACATTTTACTTTGAGTGGTGTTTGTTGAAGTTTTTAATTACATACATCAATATGGTTTTAAAAACTTCAACACACATCTCTCACTATAAATATGTATATTTAGTATAATTAACAGATTTTATAGTAAAATAGTAAAGTAACATACTTGATAAATTAGTATATTTAGTAAATAATTTAGTATAAAGAAAATATTTTGTTCTTTGAAAGTTTAAATAAATGTAATTATATTTTTTTAATTTTATCAAATAAAAAGAAAATTTTGCAAACAATACAGTTTACTTTTACTTATTCACTTTCTCCAGTATGCTGAGCCAACTTTCTTTTTCAACTTTGATAAGTAAGTTATTCTTTCTCAACTGGCATAAGATAACACTTTTATTCTTTCTCAACTTGCATAAGATAACACTTTTATTTCAACTTTGATAAGTAAGTTATTCTTTCTCAACTGGCATAAAATAACACTTTTATTTCAACTTTGATAAGTAAGTTATTCTTTCTCAACTGGCATAAGATAACACTTTTATTTAAGTTAGTAAGTTTAGTTAAAAGTACATTACTTTATCCACTTGATTATCTTTTACTAAAAAAATTTCAAATGTTAAAATTTACATTCATTAAGTCAGCTAATTCTTAAAAAACTTAAATAAATTAAGAAACTTTTAACTTTAAAAAAAAGAGAAAAACTTTAATAAATTTTACCTAATTATCAATTCAATGACTTATATGGTGCATTAAAGAAAATCTTATTTATGGTGCAATGGCAACAGATAGAACAGATTAAATGCAAGAAAATGAAGGAATTTCACATGCCATCACATAATGATGTTTCCAATTGATTGCAATAGTAGTTATATGCTTATGTTTTGATTTTTTTTAATTGTCAAGCAGATAAAACAGTATAAAGCATGCTGTTGAGTGACAGAACAACTATATAACTACAAATTAATATCAAAGTGTTTTGATGTAAAACTTTATTCTGATGAGAGATAATTAATGACTAACTTTATCAGACAAAGACTCAAGGTTAAAAAATTCTTACTTGATGGAAACAGTACATTATCATTTTCTAAATTTGTTTTCACCTTACATTAGAGTACAATTTTAATCAACTTGACAAACCAAGTAGTTTAACTAAACTTGCATAATATATATGTAAACATAACATAAATAAAAATATTAATGTAAACATAACATTAAAAAAAAAATGATGCTTTTATAATATCAGATTTTTACATATTTGTAACATGGAGCAATGCTAAACTCTATTTCGTATTTAATTTTTTATTCTCCTCGCTTATAATGCATTCCCTCAACTGAAAAAGGAAATATAGAGAAATTTTGATAATTTTTCTGTTTACTACCATAACAAAAAAAATTGTATAAAAAGTATAATTTCAACATTAAACACCTGGTCATCAAAATCATAGATGAGTATTTGACTTTATTAAAATCCCGGAAATTTTTTTTTATGAAAATCCCGGAAAATTATTTTATTAAAAATTGATTGTATTAACTGAAAACAAAAATTTTCGTAAAAACTTTTAAAACGGATTAGATTACAAAAAGGAATTTCTAATATTCTAAAAAGTTAATTTGAATAATTTAAAAAGAAAAAAAAAAGAAAAAAAATTGTTACTAAAATTGATTTCGTGAAAATTTTAACTATAGAAAACATATTTGTTTAAATGCAAAGGTTGTCGTTTTTAAAATTTTATGTAAAAATTTGTAATTTTTTTAAAACAAATTAATAAAAAAAACATGCGAAAATTTCTGGAAAATTAAAGGAGTTATAAGTGAAAAAACTCATCTATGCTAAATGTATATTCAAATCTCTTTTAAATCTGACAAATGCACTGAACAGCATTTGATTCTTTAATATCTATGTCTACCTATTTATCTATCTATCTATCTGTATATATATATATATATATATATATATATATATATATATATATATATATATATATATATATATATATATATATATATATATATATATATATATATATATATACATATATATAAATATATATATATATACACATATATATAAATATATATATATATATATATATATATATATATATATATATATATATATATATATATATATATATATTTATATATATATATATATATATATATATATATATATATATATATACATATATATATATGCAGAAAAGGTGAACTATTTTTCTACTTTTTACAAAAATAAGTATAGAAATGATCGGTATGGAATACATAAGTATAGGTAGTCTGTTTGGTAAAGACCCCTATTTAACCGGTCCAGACAGCTAAAACATAAGCATGTATGTATGTATGTGTGTGTATATATATATATATATATATATATATATATATATATATATATATATATATATATATATATATATATATATATATATATATATATATATATATATATATATATATATATATATATATATATATATATATATATATATATATATATATATATATTTACATACATATACAGGGTGACCGAGCAACAGCGTATATATATATATATATATATATATATATATATATATATATATATATATATATATATATATATCATAGATTATCCTGGCCATATTATAAAAATCCGGAGATTTTTTTTCCTTAAATATCCGGAAAAAATCCGGAAAATTTTTTTGTAATATCTGGAAAAAATCTGGAGTTTACAAAGAGATGTTAACAAGGAGGGAGGGGGCGTGCTCTCCTCCATTCTTTTATATTACTATAATATTACGCCAGTTTAAGAGTATCCTTATTCACCGTATAGATAAATAAAAAACTGCATAGTTTTTTCATCAAAAAAAGAATAATAATAATGATAAAATTTTAACAATAATAATAAGAAGAAGAAGATAAAGTCAAAGAAGAAGTAGAAAACTATATTCAGGGCCGGCGCGAGTAGGGGTCACGTAGGGGGTGGGGGTGCCATTACAACTTTTGCCGCTCAAAAAAAAAGTCCTCGTTTTTTAAAATTTACCGAATGCCATAACGACATTTGCCCACATTCCCCTATCGCGCCGGCCTTGACTATATTTAAATGCTGTTAAACAATGCGGAAACTTTTTTCAGACATGCACTTATACATTTAAATACATAATGGATAATGAAATATTGCTTTAATTCACCAAAGATATACAAATAGATAAACGTTTAACGCGTTGTTAGAGATCAGAGGCGCCACCATAACTGAAATCCCATAGACGTTATTTGAGCGTTTTGGTTTTTTTGTAGTAATTTTACAAAATAAACCGACATATCCGAGACTTTTGCTTGCCAACTTCTTTCAGTAAACATTTTATTACATGTAAAACACCAAATTTTGGAAAATATAAATGAATTTTTTTTTAACTATTTTCGGAGCATACTTCAATTGCAGTAAAAAAAAAGGAACTAATAATAATAATAAACACCAGACTTCTAAAATACAAAAAAATTAGAAATCTATTGTAATAAATATGTTAAAAAAGAAAATAAATAAATAAAAAGTAAAAAGATATTGAATTATTTTTCTGTAATCAGTTAGTTTTCTACAATTAGTTCTTCCACTCAGAGTTTAAAATGTTTTAAACTAAATTTACAAAGTCTTCTTTTATAAAAAAATCTCCACGTTCAAAAACTAAAAAAGTTTAAACGTTCGTTTAAACTTTTTAAATTTTAAGTTTAAATTTTAAGTTTATTTTAACTATGATAAACAAAAGGCGAGGCATTATTAATGATTCACGTGATCATTCATACGATTCAAAATTTAAAAGATTTAAAAAAATGATTTTTTTAAAATCTTTTAAATTAAAAAAAAAAAAACATATTTTTAAATCTTTTTAAAAAAGTGACTTTTTTTAAGAAAATATAATTAATTTTAACAGGCGCTTTTTGAATTGAAAAGAAAACATGCCTCGAAACGCGATGTTTTTAAAAACTTAGTAATGGCATTTAGAAGCAATTTGATTCACTTGACCTTTAGTCAAAGTACATATGTTTAGATTTCTTTAAAATAATTACATAGAATAAAATCCTTATAGTTTAGAATATAGTTTTATTATATAACACTTATTTGTATGAAATAACTTATTACTAACAAAGAAATTAATCTTAGTCAGTAATAATAAATTTTTTTTATAAGTTTTTTTCACCCTTTACGAAAACAAGTTGTACTGCATGACCATAATGTTACACCACGGTATTATAGTAACTGTAAGATTAATAGAAGTTTCTACTAGTTGAAGGTCATACCAAATTTCTTATTCTTAGATCAAACTATACATTGTTCTCTAGAATTAGATTTTACTAATCTCAAAAGAGTTTAAATTTAACGATATTTCACATATTTGACGGAAATTAAAAACTGATTTCTAAACGAGTACCGTTTATTCTACCATCGTCAAAACTTTTTAAAGTCTCCAATTAATAAGAAATTATGCGAAAAAATGATACTTTCAAGAAGTGTGTACAAAAAGAGACTTGCAATGGTACGACTGGACAGAAAACGAAATAATGATGCAGTAAATTTTGAACCACCGACAAACAAACTGAAAAAAGATTCAGTCCATAAGCGAAGTGATTTACTTGAAAAAAAGAAAGTTTTTAACAATAAAAAAAGAAATCTCTTTGATAATAGCTAAAAGAGCTTGTTAAAAAATGTAAATTTACAATATTTTTAAAAAGGAGAAGAGTTTGACACGCATCGCTAATTTTATTTTAAAAGTAGGAGATCATTCGCTCTTTTGCGCTGGGATTTTTCTTAAACTTTAATTAAAATGCTTATTCATTTTTGGTTTACTCTGCGAGGGAAATCTTTTCATCTTTTTTTGGCTTTGTTTGTTAACTAAATATAGCGTTCCGTAATTTATTGACAACAAATTTACTGTTTATATTTACTTGTTACTGTTTCATTTGATGACAGTAATAAACAGAAAAAATTTTATAAATTGTATTTTCGAAAATTATTTAATTATCCGGAAAATATAAAAAAATTTAAAAATATCCGGAATTCCGGAAATATCCGGAAAAAGATAATTCCTGATATATATATATTTACATACATATACAGGGTGACCGAGCAACAGCGTATATATATATATATATATATATATATATATATATATATATATATATATATATATTTACATACATATACAGGGTGACCGAGCAACAGCGTATATATATATATATATATATATATATATATATATTTACATACATATACAGGGTGACCGAGCAACAGCGTATATATATATATATATATATATATATATATATATATATATATATATATATATATATATATATATACACATATATATATAAATATATATATATATATATATATATATATATATATATATATATATATATATATATATATATATATATATATATATATTTACATACATATACAGGGTGACCGAGCAATAGCGTAACGCAAAAAATATAAAAATTTGAAAATACACTAAAAATTTATTTCAATTTATAACTGACTAGAATTTTGACTAGATGTTTATTCATGACTAAGGTTTAAAATTATTCAATGTAGCCACCATTGGCATCATACACAAGTTGGATATGCCGCTGGAAGGATCTGCATGCATTCTTGACATCTTTTTCTGGAACTTTGCCCCATGCTTTGCATATAGATTTTTTTAGTGACTCTGTACTTCCTTCTCCACAGCCGTCCACATAAAAAAGTCTAATGGGTTCAGATCTGGGCTAGATGGGGGCCACTTTAATTTGTCCCAGTACTGACTCATGTTTTCACTGAGAAAATTTTGTGTCTTTTTTGAAGTATGAGCTGTTGCCCCATCCTGCTGAAACACATACTGACCATCTGGATAATTTCTGTTTAACCAGGAAATGACCTTCTCTTGCAGGAGGTGGATATACTCATCACTGTCAATTTTTTGACCTTTTTTCACAAAAACTGGTGGACACTTTTTTCCATCACTTGCTATCACACCAAGTACCATCACAGAAGCTGGTTTTTTTGATGAAAATGAATACCTGATATTCTCAGGGTCTTCCTTTACTGTTTTGGCAGTACTAAGGTACCTTGTGTAACAACGATTAGTAATTTTATCCACAGTGAAAAGTTTTTCATCAGAGAAGATTGTCACACGCCCAGGGTAAGATTTTCGCCAGTTTAACAATTTTTTGCATCTGTCTTTCCTACTTTCTTTCTGTTTATTAGTGATAAGATGCTTAGTCACAACAGCTTTGGATTTAAGGTTTAAATCTTTCATAACTTTTTGCATTGTGGAGTTGGCAACATTGGCTTACCTTGCCAACTGGTGGATGGAGCGCAATGGATTTCGCTTGACTTTTCTTTTGACAGACCTTAAAAGCTGAGGTGATCGTTTCACAGGTTTTGGCTTATTAAAACCTCGTTTGATATCTCCTGTTTCATGAAAAAGTTTTCTTACTTGAAAAATTGCTGTTCTGGAGCAGTTTAAAGCTTTTCTGATATCTGATGTATTCTTATCCGATCGCAACATTTGCAGAATGCTTCGTCTTTTTGATTCTTGCAGATCCATTTTAATTAAATTTTTTTTAATTTTTACATTTTTTTTATTTCTGTGTTTATATCATTGTGTAATTTGTAAACAAATAGATCCACAGATATCTACAAGCATGGATAGAATTTGAGCGTAAAGCAGTTGCGTGGTCACCCGGTACATATACATGTGTATATATATATATATATATATATATATATATATATATATATATATATATATATATATATATATATATATATATATATATATATATATATATTTACATACATATACATATATATATATATGTATATACATAGACTTACAAAGACCTGTATTTTTACAGGTCAAGTCAGCTAGTTATATATGGGACTTTAGTAAAAACACAAATTTTACACTTAACCAAAAATAACACAAACAAATATTATAAAAAAAACTCTTGTTTCAAATTTGAAAATTCATGTAAAATTCTTTTGCAATATAACTTTTAAGAATTTAAAAAGAAAATTTACATAAGTGAAGCCCTGTATTTTCTGTAAACATGACATTTTTATAACACTTTTAACTAACTAATATAATAAATATCTTATTATATTTATAAATAATATATTTTATTATACATTTTACTATATTCATATATAAGATAATACACACAAAAGTTTATTAGACCTTGGTGAAGATCTTTGATCATTTGTTTGCATAATTATAATAATTATAAATTTATAGTAGCATATTTAAACATGAATCAATAAAACATGAAACAATAAAAACAAAAACTAATTTAAAACTTACTTCTCAAGTTTAAAACGTGACAGCCTAATTATCTCTAGTTGTTCTCGGGAACTGATTGGTTTGTCTTCCTCTTTTTCTTCTTCATCATCAGAATCAAGTTCAACAGAGCTTTTGTCACTAGCTGCAGCTTCAACTTTTTCTGTTTCTTCTGCTTCATCATCTTCATCAGAATAAACATCTTTTGTATTTAATGGTTCCCTCTTACTTTGGTTTTCAAGTTTTTCTTTTTTTTCAATTCTTTTCTGCTTGAGCTCATCCATAGCTTTTAGTTTTTTATCCTCTATCAAGTTTCTTTTTCGATTACCTTTTCTTGAAGCTATACTGTAGTAATTTGCTTTGTCATTTAATGATGAGGAAATTTCCTTACCCTTTTCTTTTTTATTTTTCCTTTTGCGCTCTGTATGTAATTTATGTTCTATTTCAAGTCTAGTTTTCATTGCTTCACGTTTTTCCATTCTATTAAAAAGTTCCTGTTCCCTTTCCTTTTCAGTCATTTGTTCTAACATTAATCTATCTTCTTCATTACCAATCAAATTTTCATCTAGTCCGTCATCAAATGCTGGTAGATCTTCATCAGAACCATCATCATCAGATGAACTAGTAGATACTAAATTAAAAATAATAAATATGTAGTTTAAACTAAAATTATTAAAACTAAAAAAAAAAAAAAAAAAATTTATTTTAACTTCTGCATTTAATTTGAAAAATTATTTTTAGCACATTTTAACAGACCTATTTGTCATGTAGATGACAGCATAAACTTTTTTAAAAAGAAAAAAGAAAAATTACCATAATTTAACTTAAAATTAGATTTTCAACTAAATAATATTAAAATATATAAAAAGTATTTAAACATAGTACTACTTTTTGTTATTTTTGTTATTTTTATTTGAATTTTTTTAAACAGAAGCATTCTTTTTTGTAGGGCTATGTTATTTGACACTTAGTTTTCAAATTTTATGTTTTAGTTTATTTTCGGACCTTAATACATTTTGACATCTTTAGTTAATTAACTTTATAATTCTTGTAAACTATTAAGTATAAAACATCTTTCATAAGAATTCCCTGAAGTAGTAAAATCAAGACTACCACAGCGTGTCCACATAAATTTTTATAAGAAAAAGAGAATATTAGAGGTTTTTAGAGGAGATTTTGCATTTAACTTAGAGGATTTTTTTCACAAAACTACAAAATTTTCAATAAAATAGAGGATTTTAAAGGATTTTTTTTAATAGGTTTAACGTCCATGTTTCCACATAACTGGGGTTTGCAAGGGTCAACAATTTCATTTTTTGTTAGATTACATGGATTTGCTAAAATTCATTTTTAAAACCCAATCCTGATTACAGACATTAATATGTTTTGCAGAAAACAAACTTTGAACATTATACTGCCATCAAGAAAATAAAAAATAAAAAAAAGGAGTTAAAGAGGAGATTTTATGATACTTTTAACTTTTCGAAAATTAAAAAATTTTAGAGGAGGTTTTTGAAAAAAGAGGACTTTAAAGAATTTTCGAGGAGCTGTGGCCACTCTGTACCACCATTATTATAAAAGTTGTTCTCTGCTAGCTGCTGTACATAATAAACAGCCTGATCCTTTTCTGAGCTGTCCAACCTGCTTCTCTAAAAGATTAGAGTAGCCGTGGCTCTGCGACAAAACTGTTAGGTCATATTTGGGTGCCAAAGCAAAAATCAAAAAAAACTTTTTTATAAAAATCAGTGGTAATTGTTCCAAATAAAACATATTTATGATTTGTAGACAAGAGAAACTTTGACAATTCCACAAGACCATTACAAGTTGGATAGATACTTTTAGAAGCACCTTTTGTTAAACTTTTAAAATGAACTTTTTAAGAAGAATATATTTATATTAGTTATGTTCCTAAACTCTGATAGTTTTTAAAGATTAAAATCACCAGAAGAGAAAATGGAAGTCTGATTTGAATCACACATACATACATTTGCATAACGGCTGAAAAATATATATTATCTTTTGTTCACCAAGGTGCACCAACTGTCTCAAATTTCATGAGAAAGGACTGATTTATTATGGTACTATCACAAGCTATAGATACAACAAAACCACCTTCGCGCTTTAATGGCAGATATTTTTTAAACTGAAAATTTAATTTGATTTCACTAAATTTTGACTTTACCATAGCAACCACCATAAAACTCAAAAGAGTATTGGCAAGAACATTTGGATTGTTATCAGCTTTTCCAAAAATATTCGTGGTAATTAGTAAATAACTAGAGTTGATATATGACCAGAGTGGGGTCTGGCCTTGATAAAACATACCAGTGGCTGGGTTTATGATTGAAATAAATATTGATAAAAAGCATTATATATATTTATCATCATTGTCATCATCATCATCATCATCATCATCATCATCATCATCATCATCATCATCATCATCATCATCATCATCATCATTATTGTTGTTGTCTTGTTTTTATGCTTACACGTGTTTGCTGTTTCTTATAATGCTGTTTGTAATACATTCTTTTCATGTTTTTTTTGCTTCTACCTTTACCTTTTTCGCCTGAAACTTTCTCTGCATGCCTAAACCACCCTAATCTTTTTTGATACACACAGGGGTGTGGAGTCGTAAAAAAAAAGTAACGACTCTGACATTTTTTAAGTACAACTCCTACTCCAGTTGTTGAATTTTTTTGAGCTCTGACTCCAACTTCGACTCTGACTCAAACTCCAGCTCCAACTCCAAAGCAAAATTTTTGAAAAATTCTTAAAAATATTACGCGATAAGTAAAAAAAATTTTTTTTGACAAATTTATAAAACATTCTTTGAGGTTTAGTATGAACATAAGGTTAATTGAATGTTTTGTACATGCATGTGCAACACCGAGAAGTTCTACTATAAGAGTCGGAGTCGCGATTTTGTTTAGCAACTCTAACTCCAACTCCGCTAAAAATGTTGCAACTCCGCAACTCCGACTTCGACTTCAATTCCACAGCCCTGGATACACACTAACAGATATACTAATCAATCTATATCTAAGATTATTACTTCTTTTTATTATTTTTTTAAAATCACATCATAAATCCCTCTGATCATCAACTTGTTCTTTCAGAAAATGAACATCTTTCATTTCCCATGTTTCAATGACATACAACATAACACTTTGGATGTATGCATTGTACAACTTTCCTTTATTGGTGCACCTTTTACTGTTAGACAAGATTATTTTCTGAACTTTGACACAGATCCATCTTACTTTTGCTTTTAATGTCTCTTCTGCTCCACCTGCTAATCTACCTGTAACTCCAAGTTGATAAAACTTACTAACACAGTCTATTTTTCTAGCGCAAGTTATTTCAATATTTGTTTGACTTATCTGCATTCACTAAGAGTTTTTACACTAAAAACTAACTCATGTTGTAAACACACATGAATCAATTGTTGCAACATCTCATGTTGCAAACATACATAAACCGATTCAAAAAATGTAGTTTTCCTTAACTCTAGTTTAAAATTTTGATATTTATTAATGGAAAACAATAAAAATAGTAATAATAATAAAATAACAATAATAATAATAAAATTAAAAAATTTAAATAATAAAAACAATAAATTCATTTGCGAGTATTTATACAGGATTAATATTTTCAGTAAATACAGGGTGGGGACTTAAAAATGTCCCCTGACTTTGGAGAACTGTTATTAATGAACCTCTATTCCAATAAAAAAATTTTTTGCCTATCTAATAACTGTATTTATCAGTTCTCAGAAACATAATTTTTTTCCAAACATTCAAAATTAGAGTTAGAAAGCATGAGAAATGAGTCTCTATAAAAGAAAATTTACAACAACTGAAATCATTAATTACTTAAAACATCACAGATGTGAGCACAAGTTGGTAAATCATACCATAAAACGTTTTAAGGAAACTGGAGATAAAATTCCACCAAAAAGAACAAGGTAAAAAAAAGTGGTTTATACTAAAAAATTCATAAAGGTTATTCGTGAAAGAAATAGACAAAATCCTGTTTGATTAGGAAGATCAATTGCAAAAGAACTTGAAAACCAATCCCAAAACCATCAGAAATTTGATTAAAACAGACTTAAGTATGAAAGCTTATAAAAAATAATTATCTACTGGTCTGGCAAACAGAAATAAGCTTGAGTGTGTTGAGAGATGCAAAATGATAAAAAAACAGCATGGTGGCCCACCAATAACTTTTTAAGATGAAAAATTATGTTTGAGCACCCCCTTAACAAACAAAATGACAAAAGTTTATGGAGTAAGTTTGCAAGAGATCCCACATGTTGTAAGAGCTATTACTCGACACCAAAATGTATCAGGAGTTATGGTTTTTGGTTCATTCTCTAAGGAAGGAAAACTTTCATTGAAATTTATTGATAAAGTTAAAATCAACCAGCAGCTCTATTTAAATGTCAACCAGCAGCTCTATTTATTTTGAAGTCTCATGTGAAACCTCATGCATATAAAATATTTGGTGATCACCTATATACCTTCCAGCAAGATTCAGCCCCTGCACATTAAGATTCCCTCATTTCAGTGTCAGAATGGCCCACCAGCTGTTCAGATTTGAACCCAATGAATTTTTTTGCATGGGGTTACATGTTGGAAAAACTAAAAAATGTGAAATGCAATAATTTAAAAGATTTAAAAAATTTTTTTTAGTCAAAATGATGAAATCTCCTCCATGCCAACTTTTTCAAGAGAATTCATATGTGTATCAAAGAAAAAGGATAAAGATTTGAAATCAATAAACTTTTTGCATTATGTATTAATATAACTTTTAGAAAAAGTTTTTTATAAATCAAAACAATCCTCTAGTCATTCTTACACAAAAACTATGGGATATTTGTTCCACTCAGTATATAAAAACTCCTATCAATCATGGTTCTGTAAATTCTATCAATCACAGTTCTGTAAAATATAAATAAAAACATTTAATTTACTTAAATACTTATCGCATTTAATTTACTTAAATACTTATAACATTTAAAAGTATTTAATTAAATTAATAATAAAATGCAATATACATGTAAAATGACAATTAAAAATGTAAAATTGCATTTAAATACCAAAATGTAAAGTTTATTGTTCAAAAATGTTGAAATGATAAATACAAGAAACATAAAAAAAATATAAAATAATTTAAATAAGTATGAAAAAATAAGAGGTCATTATTAAAAGCAAAATAACATAAAATTTGCTTTAAAATTATTCAGAATAGTCATTTAAATAAAGAAACTTATATTTTTTAAATTAAATAATAGTAATAACATAATAATATTAATTAGTAATAGAAAAATATTTTTATCATTAACTTGTTTTAATGCAGCAACTAATTGTGTTTGACTTTTTAAAATTTTTAGTGTAAACAGAACATTAAAATAATTTCTCTGGAAAAAGATTTATACTATTTAGTATTCTAATAATTTTGTTATTGCAACAGAAAGTCAATAAACTTATTTTTAATTGGCATAAAAAGAGCAGCTTTTATTATATACCCATTAATAAAGCCACTTTAAAAAAATTTAAGAGTTGGTAATCTTATAGATGTTTTATTTTAATTTTTTTATTATTAATTATTATTTATAATTATATA